GTGTCAACTCCATGACAACTGAGCAAACTTCATCACATGTGATGAAGGTCACAGCAAAATTTCCAGTAAGTTTGTCACAATGACCAATGACAATGACACAACAAATGACCCTCCCCTAAGTCCTGCCCCTTGAACGCAGACTGGCCAATCATAGCGTAGCATTACAGAGCTTGATTAAGTGTTGCAATATATATATATATATATATTTCATTTTAAACATAGAATCAACTCAGGCCATGCTATCGGGAGTTCTCCCACTGCTGCCGATGGACATTGTGGCCTTGTCAGTGAGTGCAGTTAGTGACAGTGTGGGCTCCATGGTAGCTCTGACAGCTTGACGGAGCAGCAGTTCAGGGCGTGGCTTAGCAAAGGGTCAATTATTTGATATGTTCCATCTTGTACTGGCTAGATTATCAATATGAGACATATCAATATGTTATAAATGTTTTTCCTCAGTTCAAAACTTGAACTACACTTATCTAACTAAGTAACCATATCTTCACCAACAGGAGGCTGAGGAGAGCTGGAGAATTCACCGTCAATAGATTGAGCTTTAACCAGCCACTGGTTGTCAAGAGCAGCAAGAAAGTTATGGTGCTGCTTCTCAGCAATAACAGGCCATATGACCCTTTTCTGATAACGCTGACCCCTACCTGCAAGCATGCCACCAATTGGGCTGTGGAGACAGTGGATGGACTTCAAAACACTATTGCTATTCTATCGGAGAGGGAGGGGGCCCGCAGTGTGAAGGTGTGTATGAGGAAGGGACACTGCCAGTCACCTAGGTGGAGCAACGTCCTGTCAGACGAGAAGTGGGTGTGGTCCAACATTCCAGTGGGGAAAATGCAGACTCATGTGACTGTGAGAGGGGACGCCCGTATGGCAGTCTACGCCTATGGCGGGGATAACCGCCATGGATATGGCATTGCTGGAGTTAGTTCTACAGGTACACACACATTTAGATCCCTTTACACACACACACACACACACGCATAGAACGGAAGAAGTGTGGGGCCACATGGAAACATTTTTTTTTACTTAAGTGTTTAAAGTCAGAATTCAAAGAATAAAGTTAGAATTCTGAGTTTAAAGAAGACTAAAAACTAAACTCATAAATCAAATACATCTTCTTCCGTACAGTGTATTTATGGTTGAAAGTGAAGAGATATAGTAATACATTTAATGATGACACAATAACACGTATCTGCTTTGGTGTTGCATGTATTTATATATGAGGTGTTTGTATTTCCTGTAGACACCCCCCCTCCTCCACCTCCCGCGGATCCCTGTGATCAGGTGAAATGTCGTGTGAAGGAACGGTGTGAGAAGGGAAAATGCGTCCATGTTTCTCTGGCAACCTGCCATGCACAAGGTGATCCCCACTACCTGACGTTTGATGGCCGACGCTATAACTTCCAGGTAGGGTTGGGACGGCTTCACCAATCATCACCAGCTATTCACTATAGAGTATATCTCTATTTTTACTTGTTACATTCTATTGAGGCCGCCAGGGACACACTGGAGAGAGACCAACTCTCATGAGTTGAACTTCAACGAGGAGTATCCACATAAAATGTGGCGTAACTCATCTTTGAAAACGCCGCTGTAGAAGCAGTGTTTCTTAACTAGAAAACAAAAGCACAACTGAATTAGGCTTCTAAAGTGTCATTTAGGAGTAGGACAATATGACATGTACAGCGAGCTGATTTATAGGCCATTAGATGGGAGTGCTGCTAAAGCACACACCACACCTAGAAACCAACCGGTTGCAGTACGGCATGAAATTATGAACAATACAATGGCCGACGCCAAAATACACATCACCATGTAGATGTATCTGTGGTGCAGTTTTTGTATACACACACATACATCTGTGACAACACTATGGTCAAAGCTTTTCTTAACTAAATGTTCAAGTGATTATGAGAATGATTATGAGATTAAGGGCGTGTGCACACCAGCCTTCTTTAGTCAAGGTTGAACTGAAGCCTGGAGCGTTTACCCCTTTGGTGCGGTTTGTTTGGCTTGGTGTGAACGACAGACTCAAACTCTGGTGTGGAACAAACAACCACTCTCTGGTCCGCCTCGACGGGTGGTCTTGGACCCCTGTCAAAGTGAACTCTGAATATCCGCTGTGAACACCATTTGAACCAATCACAACAAGCGTACCATTTATGTGTCATTACATTGGATAAAAAGGTTTTCCTTTTCCTGTTTTGGTGACTGCTGAAATGTAGCCTATTTTCGTTTGTGCTACCAGTGTTGTGGAAGTTACTCAGGAAGTGTAATAACATACTGACCTACCACGCGTTCACGTCGTCGTAACATAAGCATACCTTGCACAAAAAAAACGAATTGGTTCTGGTAACGCGGCATTACTTAAATCAATTACTGTAATACAATGACGTTTTCGTAAATTGTAATGCCTTACACTACTCGTTACTTGGGAATAATATTACAGTACCAAACACTGTTTACTAACTATGAATGTGATGAATATACTGTTTCTCAGACCACAGATGAGACAATAGTTTGTTAGCTAGCGCATCCCCGAGGTCCTGCTGGCTCACTCTCCGCTGCTAGAAGACTACTTTGATACTAGCGAAGCAACTCTTTTAGAGGGATCCCTGGCCACCAAACAGCTCATTTTCTGTAACCGGTGTAGCACAAAAGCATGGTGGAATTAGCAAGTTAGCTAACAAGCTAAGCGCTAAATGAGTAGAATGTAACATCTTTGCTTCAACCACAAACCCCTGTCACAGCGTAGGAAAGCACATCACACGCGTCAAGGCAACTCTTGAGCCGTACGAGGTGCAGACATCTCCATCATGACATTTGTTAAGAATTTCTGGACCGTTTGAGTTTTGCCTTTGTGAACACGAACCATACCAGTTGGAAAATTTAAAGAATGTATTATCATTGCATTGGCACGATTCAGGAACCGGACTTTAATGTCATGTCATAGCGATACATTGCCTAATCGGACATGCCTCAAAACTTACATCACACCGCGTGGAGCCTTTTTTAAACTGTGTGACATTCAAAGAACTTTCAAGATTGCTGTTACTGCATAGAGCAAATTGCCTTTAATCGGCACTATATCAGGTTTTGTTTTTTAAAAAGTCGTCCTTTTTTCTTTGTGATATGAGGTGCCAAAAATGTTTATAATTGGACTTTCCTTCAGTTGGCCAATCACATTCATCTTTTTT